TACAGTTTGTTGTCATTAATATACGATAATTTATTCTCACGTACTTTGTATTCAATAAAACTCATATACCTAGAGTTATTAATTTCTCATTTTATCCGGCCCGTTGAAAGTGCTGCATTACCTAATGTGGCCCGCGGTTCGAAAAGTTTGGAGACCCCTGGTCTAGACAGTCGGCTCAAAGATGGCGGTAAGGTTGTCAGCCTTACGCGCCAGCAGCGCTTTATTCCCCAGGAAAATTATTTACTTAATTCCTGGTACTCATTTCTGTTAGCGGCTGAGTCGACCCCATGGCCACAGTGCGGACGGAAGGATTAGGTCAACTGAAGAAAATCCAATGACTTCATCGGGACTTGAACCCGTGAACTTCCGGCTTGTAGCATAGTGCCTCAACCAACTATGATACCGCGTGCCACCCGCCCTCTCACAGTATTATATACAATATCCTGTCATTACCAAACTAAATCCTGGAAATTAATATCTTCCTGAATGTAATGCCATGTAGTTAAGTTCAACATTTTGGAGGAGCAAAGTACCTCCATTTTCAGGATCAAAGATCAGAGTGAGGAAGTAACTAGCTAACAGATTGTTTGCCACCTGCTCTTCCTGGTGACTTAAGTGGCAGTACTCTCCTCCAAAATGTGTGAACTTTTACCAAACTACATAGTATCTCATCCCAGAAGATGGTAACCTTCATAGTCACTACTGTGAGAACCTCAAATCCAATAAACTGAACTCTCTTTGCTGCTGATTGGATTCCTTTATGTATAAAAAGTTTGTCTTTAATTTATGATCATTATAGTTTTCATCCAAAACACAAAATAATATTATCTCATTGTAATCATCTGCATTTTAAGTCTTCGGTACTGGGATTTAGTGAATATTTTGAATATCTGCAATAAGAACACTCTGACCACGTTTCTGATATATATACTGTTCTGCTATTGACTTGCTATAAATAAGGATGAAAGCACAAAAAAATTTATGGAACATGCTCTATACAACTGCATGATGGTTCAGTGTGAATCCTGTAACATCTGGCCTGTATTCCCATTAAATCTAACTTATACTTTTGTCAGATCTCTTGCTGTTGTTTTCAGTGAACCTGACCTCTAGAATTTCCAGGTTCCACATCCAGAACACACTGAGAAGAGAAGGAATACCCTAGAATAATGCTGTTCTCAGTACCAAAGACCAAAAAGAGAACAGAAGTAAACAAGTAAAAAGAAACATTTAGTACAGATTACATAAATTGGATTTTTGAGGTTCTAACAGTGGGAAATATTAAGAGCCTGGGACGTGATGCCACATACTCCAGTAGAAGTTTACCATAATTTTGGAGGAATGCCTCCATCTTCATGGTTGAAGAATAAGCCAAGGAAGTGATACAGTTACTCTGCTTGCTCTTTAACCCTGAGGACAGAGCCAGTATATTACTTTGAAATGTCTGTGAACTTCTACAGCCCCAAGGGCAGTGCTCATCATATGCTGGAACATCACAGAAATATCAAAACACATTGCCATAGCTAAACGCAACAAGGTGTACTGTGATAACAGGAATGACGACTGTATCACATTCACACATCTCTGCCTCTTGCACTGAATGGAGAATTTAAAAATGCCAATACAGTTCTCAATTGTTACATCTGATTCTACAAGAGTCACTTCTTATTAAAACAAGTACAAATACAGGTCAATTATATCATTTGGTTATGACAAAATATATATTTATTTATTCCTAGTTTATTTGGTGACTATGCCTCCAGACCCCCATACATTTTCATGGAATCATGATTAGTTAATTAAGCAGACAACCTTACATTTTAAACCTTATTTATCATTATGAACAAAATGGCTATTCCAAGTGAAGCTAACATTCACCTCCAGCCAGTGCTGAGATCAAGAATGTGTGGATCTATACATCCACTACCCCACATGCCTTCGTGGCATAGTGCTTAATTACTTAGCAGAGGGAGAACTTTACTTTTGCCTTAATGCTACAACTGAGGTCACTATAACCCAAGTTTGACTCTACTGTAGGATGACTATTGATGAATCAAGATTCTAGATGTTTCTGCTACACATGAGCTTGAAGTCATCATTCAAGGTCCGAGGCTACATTGTAATATTACAATGGGGGTGTTTGGAGTGTGAAGTTGACCACTCACCCTCATCTAGAGCCAAGGTCAAGAAGAGTGGAGCTATACCTCTACTACCTTATTTGTTTTCATGGCATAACACTTAATTAATTAAATATAGGGACAACTTTACCAAGAAGACTTCAGTTCCTGTTAGTTATTTTCTGTCTTACTTGCAACTTGCTTTTTAGAACCCTAGTTAGTTAGTTAGTTATTGGAGAGGATGGGTTTCCCCATGCACTTAGACCTGTAGTGGTCCATTGTGCTTCCCTCTATGATTTCTATCAGCCTCTATGTCCTACTGGTATTGGTGCTTACCATCAGTCCCGCCCAGCCAGCGAGACTGGCTCTACTAGCTGAGAGGTATCTATAATGCTTCCCCCATCTACCAGAGGTATTAGTGACTACTGTTGGCCGGGAAATGTTCGCAATTTGGCTCAGTGACCTCCTTTGGAGGTATGAGGTTCTTTTACGTGCCGTAAAGCTACGACATGGGACCCACAGCTTAAAGTCCCTCCCGGAGGACTTGTTCCCTGAATTTTTCCGCCCTTAAAAATTCGACGACCTCCGCCGGGTATTTCAACCCGCGTACTACAAGTCATGAGGTGGGAACGTTACCTCTAGACCACGGAGGCCGCTTTTTAGAACCCTAAGTTTCAAACATTGAAATCTCTTCTGCATCACTGGTGCTTGCACACTACATGTTCAGACCAACATTCGTTATCTTCAGGTGATACATCAATATATGCTTATATTTTTTCTGCATTTATTTCTAGACCACCTTCATGAGCATGTAACAGAACTTTTTGTGTTTCACATTTGCCCAATAAATAAACACATATGCATAGACCAAAAGGTAGCTGTAAAACATCTTCTGTAATCTCCAATTCTTTAATGACACAGATGTATGCATATAATAGAAACTGATTAACAAAGTTAGAATGTCAAAGTTTATTTTATACAGATCAATCCAAAGTCACTGCCTTAGCCATTCTGATTTAACTCATACTTCTTCACCACATTACAGATGTCAGGTCTGTTTAGTTGGTACAACAATTTCTCTTCAATACGATTCACTGCTGCTAGAGTGAGTACGAGGGTGTCATGTTTCAACATGCTGTATACATTCAACCCTAGGGGATGAAAAGAAAAGAGTCACCATTAATGGAGAGTATAGGGATGACACAAATTTACACACAGCCAAATATAAAACATCAAATTTTATATCTTGCTGAACAGCTCAGTTTTATAGCATCATGTTAGAAATACAACACATCAAGAACACCTGATAACTGTTCAGCCATTAACTTCTGACTTGTATTTAAGAGGAACCTGGTTTGAATCTTGAACTACTTACATTAGGCTGCCATGACTGCTTCCTTCTACAGCCTTCACAATTCAATTACTACCACCCTATCACCCACCACCGTATGGTCTGAGTTAAGATGACATATATTTATGCTTTGTGCTTATCTTTATCTCTATGCTTAAGCTTTATGACATTAAATAAACAAAAAATACAAGTCTGTGCAGTTGAATAACCGAGCAAAAGAGAGCAGGAGCATAAAAATTGGATTAATCATTAATGATGGTGAATTCACTGAACACAAAACTAATTTTCAGGTGCTGCCAGTACGTGTATATGGTTCCCAGTGCTGTTACATGTCCAAAAATGCTGCCATCTCACACTGAGGTATATAATACATTTTCTATTATGGTTCACATTTAAATGTATCACCCTGCATTTTAACAACACAATATTTTAGCACATCATAACTAAATAACTCCATGGAACTCAGCCCTTCTCGAGAAGCTGCCAATTGATATTCAAGAATTTTCCAAAATGTTACAGAACCTGAAGATTCAATACCATGCTCACAAGAGCCTTCCACTTGTCCCTATCTTGAGCCAGATCAATCCATTCCATACCATTCCATACTCTCTCTCTCTCTCTCTCTCTCTAAGATCCACTTTAATATTATCCTCCCACCTACATATAACGCTTCCTAGTGGTCTCTTTCATTCTGCCTTTCCCACCAAAATCCTATATGCATTCTTCTCCTCCCCCATGCATGCAACATGACCTGCCCCCTTGGCTTGTTCATTCTAATTATACTTGATGAAGAGTATAAATTATGAAGCTCCTCCTTACGCAGTTTTCTCCAACCTCCTACTATGTCATCCTTCTTCAAACCAAATATTTTCCTCAGCACCATGTTCTCAAACACCCTCAGTCTATGTTCTTCCCTTAGTGTCAGAGACCAAGTTTCACACCCATACAGAACCACAGGCAAAATTACATTTTTACAAATTTAGGCAGCAAACAAGAAAACAAAAGATTCTGCACCAAATGGTAGCAAGCATTACCCACTTTCAACTTCCTCCTGAATCAAATTTTGATTTGTTACTGTCATTCCCAAATATCTGAACTGTGTCACATTTTAAAGTATCTGTTAGCTGACTTTATGTCATGATCTTGCCCAGCATTCTGGTGATGAGACATAAAAATATACTTATTTTTCTGTGTTTACATCTAGACAAACCTCCTTACCTGCATCAATTACAGTTTCTGTGTCTTTCTTAATGGTATCTGTGTTATCTCCCAACAGATTTACATTATCAGCACAGACCAGAAGCTGATGTGTCCCATTTCAGTTCAGTTCCACCTGGTTCTCCTAATAGCATATTCTAAAGCAAAGTTGAAAAGCAGTAGCAATACAGCATCTCCTTGTTTTAGACCATTCTGGATAGGAAAATTATCAGACAAATGTTTACCTATATGGACTTTATCCTTATTATTAAAGCACTGAACAATAATGCAACAATATTTTTTTTTAAATATAAAAGACATCTAAAATATGTTTCTCACTAAAAGTGCATCTTTAATAATTTATGATGTTAAAATCATAAAATGTCTTTAGTTTCACATATGTTTCTTCGCATTTTAAGAGTAGAGAGAAGAAGATGGTCTTGCGCTCTTCTCAGTTGGCCTGCATCTGTTTTCACCAAGCATTCAGTAGAGAACTAAACTGTTGTTTCCATTATTAGTTTAATGTGTTCCTGGCTGGCTCTTAGTTCTTGTTTCATTTCATCTCTGTCGGTTTTTCTGGTGGCCTCCTTTATGGAGACTAGTGAAACTGTCTTCTTCTCCATTGTTTCTTGATTTATTTAATACTGGATTTTGGCCATCATGGCTTTCAGGAATTCCATGTTAATCATTTTTGTCAGATGGCACTATAAAATCGATCTTTGTTCCAATACTTCATCAGTCCAATCCAATCTGTACCACTTCTAACACCAGCTGTCACATCACAGTGACCAAAGACAGGTTTTGGATTGTTAATTGGATTTATTGGATACTTACAGGTTGTAAGTATAAATAATTATAACACTGTTGCTAACTTTCACATTACAAAGCACTGCATGCTAATTTCTTCATTCTATCTCACCAGTTCTCACGGATTTAGAGCACAGGAACTATAAAGCTTTCTCTAAATCACACACTCGAGATACCACTGCACTACAGAACACATAAAGTCTTCAAACCACACGTTAAATCTTCACAGGCTGACTTCTTGTACTCTTCTGTACTCCTCAAGCATACTGCTATCCTCTTGTTTGCGTAGTAACTGCTCGGAATCCTCCTGGACTCTTACTTACATAGCCATGGAATGGAAATACAGCAAACACATCATGTGACCTCTACCTACTGTTGTGTGGTGTCCCTGTGGACACAGAAAACATGTCCTCCTCTATTGTTGCCTGTTGGACCACGTTTATAGAGCTGCTGCCTGGCAATGCATTGATCAAATCCATTACAATATATAAGAATTTTATTAGGGCTTCTGTACACATTTTTGGGGCGAGAAAGGGTTCCTTGGCCATGTTAAAATTGGGAAACACTGATCTAAAATTGTATCAATGACTAGCCATCAAAGGCAATGAATGTTCCAGACCTGTGACAGAGGGACGGGGGGAGGAACTTTGCTCAACATGAAGTCCGAGACCTACTTGCTTAAGACTAAGTGAAACAACAGACCAGTGAGATTACTGTCTTATACAACTAACTGCTGGGAGCACAGTTCTCCTTGAGAAGCTGACAGTCACTTACCTACGCAAGGCTAAAAGATGTATTACTATGTTCACATGAGCCTGCCTATCCTAATCCAGACGTATCCATTTTACAGCCTCACACCTGATTTCTTTAAGATACATTTTATTATTTTCCTCACATCTATACATATGTCTCCCAAGGGTCTCTTCCCTTCAGGTTGTCAGATTAAAATTCTGTGTACATTTTTCATCTCTCCCATATATGCTACATCTCCTACCCATCTCACCCCCCCTCAATTTGATGAAGGTGTACGAACTACTCACCATAAACAGGCATCAGGTTATAATGTAATATGGAATCAGTTGCAGCAGTGATGTTTCTTGGCATTATGTCCATCCTGAAATATTAATTCTTTTTCATAACTTAATAAACAGAAAAACACAGTGGTGTTCATATTCAAACACTAAAATTAGCACTTACTCATCCACAAGGAGAACAGATGGCCCCCAGGTCCGACTGTCTACAAGATCTTCAATATATTTTGGATCATCTGTTGGGATTTCCAGAGAATTCACAATATGCAAATCATCCTGAAATAAAAATTGATAAGTTTCTAAATTGGCACAGGTACTCCTCATTACAAAAAAGGTAAAAATATTCCTGTAACCGGAGGTTGAGGCTCCCACATTTTCTAGACGATCGGCTCACATATGGCGGTGATGTTGGCAGCCTCAAACACTAGGCACCCTTTACCCCCCAGAAAGATTCCTGGTACTCACTTCTGCTAAAGGCTGATTTGACCCCAGGTCCACTGCAGCTGGAAGGGTTAGGTCTATTGAAAAATCCAGTGATCTCATAGGGAATCAAACTCACAACCTTCTGGCCTGTAGCATAGTGGCTCAACTGACTCTGCTACTGCATGCCCTTTCCTCAATATACATAAGGTCGAAAAATATGATTTCATTTTACGTGCTCAACCAAACCAATTTCAATTAACAGCATTTACCTTAATTGTCCAGTATCCACTGGGTGGGCCCCAGATCTTGTCTGTATACTGTGGAGAAAATAAAAATATCTGCCCATATAGAAATCTGCACCCTGGTTGTCAGGCACATGGCTAGTCATTATTATACTGTTGTTGTTTTCCATCTAAAGTTGTTCAGTAAATCCTGCCCCATTTATCTGATGTAACAAGACAACAATTTTATCACATTCAACTATGCATCGGCATACTTACTTTGGTTTATTTTCCTTGGTAATGGCACAGGTCAGTTTGAATTTAGAAATTATTTAACCAGATTTTCCTATTAATATAAAAGAAAATTCCACCTTCCTTCCATAATGGTGGGATCAACAATATGACAGCAAATACACCCAAAACTGAAATTAATGTGAGTTCAGAAAACCAAAATAAACTTCTGAAACGCATTAAAAATAACATAGAGCCAACCGATCCTTACTTTGCCATGCTCACTTCTGTTCCTTATTACATCTCACTGGTGGAATATGAGTGGAAAACATATGTATGCATACACCATATTCACAACCTGGTGTGACTCCAAGATTTCTACCGGCCACTTAAAAACAGAATTTAACTTCACAAACAGAATAAAATCCTTCATGTCTTCTCACGCTACTTCTACGTACTGAGAAATTATCAATTTCTGTTCGCACAGCGAGCTTTTCAAAATTAATGGGTCAAAGCTAATACAAAACTGCTTCTTATGTACATTACATCTGCTCTCCAATGAACTGTTCTCTCATTTGTGGCTCTAATTTTAGGTCCATGATATGTTTTCTGTGAGCTTGTTCTTGGTTATCCCCTCCCCTTCTTTCATTCTTGTCTGTCATGTCAAGGGGTCCCATGACCAGGCTACCCAATCACCCTTCCCTCTCCATTTCTAGGGTAGTCTGCTTGGGTCTGCAACTGCATTGAAACATTCTCTTCTGATTTCTTGAGTCATGTGGGATGAACATATTGAATATTCTGTCTAGGCCCATTCTGATTCACACGGCTGTGCCTGTGGCTAAACCATGTTTGCATTGTCCATTGCAGCCTTTGGATCTGAAGGAAGCCTTTGCCAAAACTGTATTTAAGGAATGCAACAAAGTGTGTTCTGTGTGAGCATGTTCTCATTGTTTCGTGGAACACAAGGCTGTGTGAGTGTGTATACCAGGTATAAGGTGAGCCCATGTTTTGGTTTCACAAACACAAGAATATGCCCTGCTTCTTTCTGATGGAAGTGTCATCACATGAGGCATTTGCTAGGCGCAATTGTTTCATGCAAACTGCATTTTCTTTATGTGAAGATTTCATGCATTATTCTGAAATTGAGTTATTACTTGTGTCTCCTGTGTATCTACTACCCTGAAGAGCCCTATGTTGCAGATGATGATTCTCTAACCTTGTAATTCTGTTTCATTGGTCTTCTGACCTGAGTCAGTTTATGTTTGTTATATTCTTTGTTCTCTTCCTATTGTTATTATAGTGTGACGTGGACGACGCAACACTCGTTAAACACCCCCTCCCCCGCACTGACGTAACAGGGGAAACTGTAGCTGCTATGCAGCAATAAAAAATTCTCAACAGCGTTGCCCAACAACGCCTTTGTAAACACGGCGTCACGCAACAGGGGAGCCCATGCAGCGACTGTTGCTAGGCAATCGGTAAACACGATGTCACACAACAGTGAAAGCTATCACGTTTCTGTTTTCTGTGTTGTCCGTGCCGAGGCTAAATAAGGAGCAGCAAACACTGTTCAGTAGTGAGTGATTAGGGAGTGAGGATTGAGCCAGTTACAAGTGAATGACATTGACTGAAGTGGAAGAAGTAACTGTGATACTGCAGATGGGAGTAGTTGTGTTATATGTTATATATAATATATAATAACATAATACAATACGTTATTACAAATTTAATTCTTTCATTTGGTAGTAGTTGCTTTGGGGGGGGGGAGCATGAGACTTGATCCTGTCTCATCAGGTGTTGCTTTATCATGCTCCCATTTTCTACATGCCTGTTTTTGGATGAGCCCTATGTCACCTAGGGAGCACTGTAAACTACAGCAACAGAATCAGACTGATAAAAATGGCACTGTGCACATGTTTTCTGAAGAGCGTTAAAAGCAGGCGGATCATGAACCTAGTCGTTTTTCATAGTACTCAACTATTTCGCATTTCATCTGGAGCTGTTTCACAGGAATTAAAGGGGCTGGCAACCCATAAATGGACACAGCCTGAAACCATCAAAGTGTTTGAAGTATGGTTTAATGTATTCCACATACCTCCACCCTAAAAAAGACAGATGTGTGTACATATATGTACGTGCGCCAAAAACAGATATATATATATATATGCTAATTTAATCTAAAATTTCTTTCTATTGACAAACTTCATGTAAACAAATGTTTCAAAAAGAAAAATTAACCAGGACTTACCTGTGCTAGTTTCACGGAAAGGCAAGATATCAAGCCATGAACTCTGGTGTAGAATGGTAACATATAGAAGTAGGTCTTGGGAGATCGAGGGCCATGTGAAAGACCTCCCCCTCGCCACAGGGGTGAACGTATGCTGCCATGACGAGCTCTCCCAGTACCTTTTTGTGGCCAAGGTTTCCTTCCACCTCCACGGACTTCTGCACGGGTTTTTGTGTGATCATATCGCTGTAATAGAGGAAATTCATGAGTTTAAACAAGAAGAAAATGTAGCACAACTATGATCACAGGAGACGTTTGGCTGGCAGTCACTGTGCAACCCTCCAATATGTTGTCACTCACACAGTCAAGAAACAGAGTGAACTGTGCTGCTTGCTCAAATACTATGTATTCAGGTCTCAGTTCCTTTACTCCTGCAGGAGTATACGCTTCAAAGTGTGTTTTCATTACTTCTTTACAGGCTGGATAATTGAGGAATCAGGGTTCGATTCTTGGCAGGGGAAAGAAATTATTTTTTCCTCCACAGTATCCAGACTACCTATGGGGTCCACCCAATCTCCTATCAAATGGAAACCAGGAGCTCTTTCCCCAGGGCCAAAGTGCCCAGGGTATAAAGTTGGCCACTGACCTCCAGCTAGTGCAGAGGTGAAATACAAGTATATTTAGAGCTTCATGTCATGGTACTCAGCTAAGCACAGGGACTTCACTCTTACTTTGCATAAGAAAGAAAACTTGTAGAAAGTAAATTCATTGGTTCTCTCATAAACACCTGCACGTACAAATCCTCACAATGTCACTTGTACTGAAGTTTGAAAAAAGTGGTGGATAATGGGTTTATTCTGCGACAAAAATAAACAACCAAAGAGGACGCTCTCCTTGCCATCTGTGTCTTGATGGTTTCCAGCTTGGCTTCCTTTTGAACCCTGAAGATGATGGTGATATTGTCCTCCAAAACATCAGTGAACTTCTACCAAACTATAAAATGTTACACCCCTGAAGATCATACTCTTCATAGTAACTGTTGTGAGAATCTCAAATTCAACAATCCAAGAGGAATGTGCTAACAGAATAAATTTAATAAGACATTTAGGCACAGTAAGGGATCAACCCTTTTAACTGTTAAGACTCCTGGCACAAGAAACTGGTGTTCTGCTTGGATCTGTATTCAGACACAAGACTAATGAAATTTTGTCCCTCTATAATAATAATTGCATGAGCTTAAGTAACCAAATTATGAAGCAAGTCACTTTTGCATATAGTTGCTGCAAAATGTGCAAAACATAGTCATGGTTCCATAGCTTCTCTTAATGCGAGAAGATGAATTTAGTGGTCATGTCAATACACAAAATGTATGAATTTTGAGTGAAGTGTTATTACATAGGGTATACAAGTATGTAGTGGTGTGGTGTGTTGTAAGTGTATGGTAAATTACTGGCCTGAACGTTTTCAGCAAAAAAATGGAATTCAGATCAGTGTGTGTGCTATATATTGAATCACTTCAGATCTTCTGAATGTGTTGCTATACTTGTTTTAAGCTGTGAGGCATGCTTCATGGCAGAAGAGGGTCAATTCTAGCACCACTTAATACAGAGTCCTAATATGATGTATGGTAATAAATCATCAAAATCATGCAACTCTTACAAGTATTTAGGCAGTTTGTAGAATGTAAAATAACAAAATGGTGGTTATGTTAAAATTTCCTTCAGCTCTCAGCTTGATGGTGAAATGTGGCATGGAGACATTTTAAAACATAAAGCTACACGCTATGTGTGAATTACTGTTTGTAAATTAACAATTTCAAATGTGTCAATGTTGTAAAATTTTAAGGTTATATCTGAGAAATTAAATGTAGACATCATCTACACTTAAATGGTAACTCTTCACAGAATTAACTGAAATAAAAAATATTATTAGAAATAAATGTGTGTGACTAGAAACCTATGAAAAAGGAAAGTAGAACATAAATTTTGCTTAGGAGACATTTTTTGTTCTTATTTAAATGTTCACATTTTAAAAGCTTACTCTTTATTTTACATAATATTCTGTGGGAACATCCCACATTATCACGCATTTCTGCAACGCTCGCTCTTCACATCGCTTTTCACCATCACGCGCGCTAACCAATCTGATTGCTTCAAACGTTCATATTTATACTGGGATCGCTCCTGGCCCGCATCTACGTCATTACGCGCGCTAGCCAATCAATTCTTCCTCCTCACTTTCGAGTTTGGCTCCGCCCCACCGACCAGCATATAAAAAGGAGCGACTCCAGAGCAGAGTTATTCAGTTCCACGCAGTTCATCATCAGCCTACGAGCTAGCAACATCAAGCAACTCCAACCAGCAGGCTTCGTCGCCAGCGCTCGGTCTTCGGAGACATCGGCAGGCTGCGCCAGGCACGACTGCCTCGGCCCTCCAGCGCTCTCACACCCGACTCACTGGGGCACCGCGCCTGGACTCGCCGGTGGTCGTGTTACGGTCCGACTCACTGGGCATCTGGAGTAGCCACTGCCTCATGGCTCCTGCGACCGCACTCCACGACTAGCCTTTTCACCAGCCATTCACTGTAACTAGCCTTTCTCCTTACCGGTGCACGCCGCGCTTCCTCACCGGTCAATCATCTCAGCAGCCACGGTCCTTTTCAGGGCCAACACACTGTTCCGAAGAAGTGGGTTGTCATAGGAGTAGTGACAAGACTACACACGTTGACAAGAGCCCCACATTGGTGACCCCGATGTGATTGGAAGCGCGTGTGGTGAACATCAAGTAACGACTCCTACGTTGGATCATCACGGCCCAGCATAGACGCCGCATACACTTCGCAAGCAGCATCACTTCCCGCAAGGGGGGGAGTGATGTGGGAACATCCCACATTATCACGCATTTCTGCAACGCTCGCTCTTCACATCGCTTTTCACCATCACGCGCGCTAACCAATCTGATTGCTTCAAACGTTCATATTTATACTGGGATCGCTCCTGGCCCGCATCTACGTCATTACGCGCGCTAGCCAATCAATTCTTCCTCCTCACTTTCGAGTTTGGCTCCGCCCCACCGACCAGCATATAAAAAGGAGCGACTCCAGAGCAGAGTTATTCAGTTCCACGCAGTTCATCATCAGCCTACGAGCTAGCAACATCAAGCAACTCCAACCAGCAGGCTTCGTCGCCAGCACTCGGTCTTCGGAGGCATCGGCAGGCTGCGCCAGGCACGACTGCCTCGGCCCTCCAGCGCTCTCACACCCGACTCACTGGGGCACCGCACCTGGACTCGCCGGTGGTCGTGTTACGGTCCGACTCACTGGGCATCTGGAGTAGCCACTGCCTCATGGCTCCTGCGACCGCGCTCCACGACTAGCCTTTTCACCAGCCATTCACCGTAACTAGTCTTTCTCCTTACCGGTGCGCGCCGCGCTACCTCACCGGTCAATCATCTCAGCAGCCACGGTCCTTTTCAGGGCCAACACACTGTTCCGAAGAAGTGGGTTGTCATAGGAGTAGTGACAAGACTACACACGTTGACAAGAGCCCCACAATTCCTTTCCCTCATAGAAAAACTTCATGCTTATTTTGTGTTGACATGAACATTTTAAACAAAGCCACTATGCCCTCTTGCAACCTGAGGTTGAACTTCAGCCATCACATAAATAATAAAATTTACAAAGAGGGTTTACACAAGGCATTCAACTGTTTCAAACAGATCTACACACACACACACACACACACACACACACATCAATTTCTGATTCTGACTTTCACTTTGACTCTGACTTTGAAGCCAGTCAGTTGCCATCCAGAACAGACAAGAGCATGGAAGCAGAAGAATATCCATTGTTGAGAGCTGTTACAAGGCAACGACTGGTGATGACAGAAGACATTTATGTGTAAGATCTACAAGTTTGTGATGATGGCACATTAGTACAAATATTATGTTTCTGAACATTATCCATTGTCCCGTCCTTATCTAAAAACCGTTTTGTTTATTTTTCAAAACACAATGTTTCAGAGCCGGATTCTGTCTCCATCTTCAGGTAAAACCTACTCAGTTGGGTCCAACTGATAGAGCTAGTCCCTTACCAAACAAGATGTTGGATAATTTCCAAAAACATAATATCTGTACTTTTCTGTGTGTTGCAGTATAGTGATTTGTTGAGTGTGCAGATCTGTGAAACTGGTATAGTTACCTGTAGTTACTACTTATAAGTGTTCAGTAAATCCAATTACCTATCAAAACCCCATGTTCAGGCCTTAACGTATAACAATACATTGAAAATAAGCAAAATAAACTGATTTCAGAGTGTCTTTGTTGCTGATATATATAACATTAACCTAACTGCACAACATTCTCCAGTTAACTTAGGAACCAAGTGATCAGAATGATTTTCCAGTTTAGGTGGTCATCACTCTGTAAACCAAGGGCTTTTGTGTTTATTGACTCTTGCCTGTCCAATGTTTAATGGATACTGTGGTGAATTATTTCTTAAAATTTCATCGTATTTGTTGCACCTAGATTTAGAGCCAGTTTGTTAGCAGTACACCATTTGCTCTTACAAGAGACAGCTCTGTTAGACAATACACAGAAATCGTCAAAATTGTTACTAGAAATTATGACACTAATATCATCAGTGAATATTACAGGTATTGAAAATATACTGTCACATGTATTAGTGATTATATATAGGATTTGATTGGTAATTGGTCTTAAAAACTAGCAAAAGCAGGAGTTACAAACAACAATGAAAATTATTAACTGAACTGTACCTTCAAATACAAATGAAATTAATAATAATTACCTTCTAATAAAAATAATCAGAACAAAAACACCTTGAAAAAAAGAACACATTTAAACGTGAGACACAGATATTTCATGCAAACTTACAGACACAACTGCAGGATTACATACCACTTGTCTATACTTTGTCTGCCATTCTATGTTTTCATGGATGATGTCAATTCTAGGCTGCGCACCAAACACATCTGGATGTAGGTCAATCAGTCCAAGCTTCTGCTCTTCCACAGTGTCAAGGTTCTCAACCCATGCTTGTTGTACTCTTTTGTACTTTGGGGGATAAGCTAGGACCCTAGGCATAATAGCTGTGGTGGAGAGACTGCTGCTAGAACCTGTTACATTCAACAAATGTACCCAAAATATCATTCTGAGTCCTATACTTGTCAATACGCATCATAAACAATACTGAGGAATGTTAAAATTTGGGGACTTGGGTAAAAGGACAGCATTCTTTAATTTACTTAATATATATAGACTGGATTCTGTCTCTGTCTTCACGTAAAACCTACACAGTTGGGCCCAACAGATAGAGCTAGTCCCTATCTCCAGTCACCTATGCCATTTTTAGGAAGAGGCACATAACTTAAACACAACACAAATATAAACAAGACCTTGGATAATGTCCAAAAACATGATACTTGTAGCAATGTACCATTGTCACAAACTTTTAGATCTTAAATAATCAGCAATTTTACATTACAGAAATGTGCAGTGTGGAAACATTTTGCTAATAAGCACTGACATGTCCACATCTCTTTACCACCTTGAAAAAAAACTGAGGGTCACACTAAGGCCCGAATACAGTGCATAGTAGGGAAACAGATATCAGATTCAGGCCGTGGCATTCAGACTCCATACACATGCAAGCAATGCAACATCCTCTTTGTCAAATAGGGGTAAAAATGAACCACTGAAAAGTGATTATTGTCAGATTCATGTACTGCACAAGAAAAAATATACCTACAAATATTACAGAAAACATAACATCCTTCTGTTACGACCATAAACATCAATAGGAGACAGCCGATCACATTCAAAACTTAAATCATCACTCGAATACTGATACTGCGTCAATTGTGGAGGTTCTGTATAACTTAATTTTAGTTAAATTAAATTTTACACCAGGTATATGACACTCTTCCCCGGGGCAGTACGAGGTATCTCACTACAACATTTAAAATGAACTGGTCTCCCTGTAGCAAAATTTGGGAATATAATCGGGGTAGGGCTCATAGGTTAGTTTTAACTTTGAAAGTAACATTGATTTACTAACCTGCTGCACTTCCATCTTCTAATGTAACGGTGGCCGAATTAAATCGCCTTCCTACGTAGGTATACTTGTATATTCTGTTTACCGACTTTAGTAATACTGTTGAAATATCGATATGAGAAGTTATACAAAACTTATACATGGACCCCATCCCAATTTACATGGTTTATGTCAGTTACATGTAGTATGATCTGTGGCAATAGAGCACGGATAGTGCAAAACGTGCAAAAGTCGAACTGCGATTAATGGTTCGATGGGTTCGATTGCTTGACTCGGTTTAGCTGTTGGCGGTAAAGTTTGTTGTGTAACTTGAATACAAGTACAATAGATATTTCATTATATTTTTTAGACCGATGAGAATTTTATAAATTTCAGTGAAATGTTTTGTGAAAAGGCTTTCGAGTTAATCAAAGAACTTCGTCGTTCACCCGATTCATTGCCTTTATTTAACGTAAGTTTATTTTGTTTGCTGCACTGATAAACATCTATTGCATTTATTCACTTAAAATATGGACAGAAGGAAGCCAACGCATAAGTGTAATGACTAATTGAGCGAAGCTGTGGTAAAGAAGGTATGTGATGTTAGGAATGCAATTTTGCAAGGTTCATATCAGAGCTGAATGTTGGGTTTGTGATCGTGTTCGGAAGATGCATGGTTCGAATCCCGGCAGTAGAGTAGAGTAGAGTACAGTTTATTTGCGTTCCGTAGATCCTTTGTACTAAACCGAAGGATGCAGAATAGGCCACATTACAAGTATATTTCCATTTCATTTCCACATTATCTAGACAGTCGGCCTACAAATGGCGGTAAGGTTGTCAGCCTTATGCGCCTGCCGCCGTTTACCACCAGAAAGATTCCTGGTACTCAATTCTGTTAGAGGCTGAGTTTACCCCAGGGCCGTGGTGCAGCTGGAAGGGTTAGCTCGATTGAAAAATCCACCTCATCGGGACTCCAACCCGTAGCCTTCCAGCTTGTAGCATAGTGCCTCAACCAACTACGCTATGTGAAAGCAGATCAACTTGGTAGAATTCAGTTCCCTGGTTTCCTTGAAAGGACACTTCATCTCTTATTGGAGTATGTACCCCCTAATATTCAAGAGGATGTGGTTCCACTACTGCAGTGACCCTCTCCATATTTCATGCCAAGTGTGCAATTGGTTGAAAAGCTATTTTCAAATGCATGGATCAGCAGTAGGGTTCAATTTGTTTGGCCTCCATATTTTTCTGATTTAAATCCACATTATTTGTTTTTGTGATCTGAACATGTGTGACACCAAATCTCACTCGGTCGGTATAGTTTGCTTGCGGACTAAAACCACGGAGTTTGTTTTTTTGTTTTGTGTCACCAAATCCTGTTGGTGGAATCCAGTACTGTGGTTACCTTGAAAGTACACTTCACTTTTATTAGACAGTTAACCCCCAAATTGCCACAAGGATATGTAGTTTTGGCACTGATACCTCTCCCACTTTTCATGCAAAGATTGTAATTGGTTGAACAGCCATTTTCTGAATGCTTGCATTGACCATGAGGTCTGATCAATTTTCCTTCATGTTCTCCTGATCAAAACCCACTTGATTTTTTTGTTAGGGGGGATGCCTCATAGAAATTGTTAGGCCAAGCCCTGACANACTAATTAAAACAATATCAGCAAAAATTTTCTGAGATGTGTATGATATAACTACCATCGATATACAAAAAAAAAAAAAAAAAACACACACACACACAAAAGGGAAATACAAGTGCATAAACATTAAAGGTTTTAATAATTCTGTGGGATGTCATGTATGAAGAGACAACCACTTGTTGAACTGTTGTCTGCTCAATGATAATATTGGTCTAAACTCCAAATGACTGAAGGAACAATTCAGATAATGGAAGGATTCTGACAGTGGTGTATACTGTACTTCTTTTGGCTTATTTTGGACTTCACCCATCGTCTGGTATGTAAAAGACAAAAGACCACGACATTTAGGAGACTGGATCTGTCTCCGTCTTCAGGTGGATAGGGAAGGATGAACCTACTCAGAAAGAGCTAGTCTCAATCACTGGTCCAGTGATTGAGACTAGCTCTTTCTAACGGGCCCAACTGAATAGGTTTATCCTTCCCTACCCACCTGAAGACGGAGACAGATCCAGTCTCTGAAACTTGGTCTTTTGTCTTTTACATACCAGACGATGGGTGAAGTCCAAAAGAAGTACAATTCAGATAATGCATGTAGGAGTAAACATGACATTCTTTGATTTAAAATTACTCTTGTTCCTCAGAATGATATTTGCCCCCATGATAGAATCTATGCTATGGAAGCACAAGATCATGTCATGATCAGTGACATCCAGATAGCTGCAACAGACATCAGGAGCCAACCTAGACAGTTGGCTAATGCTAGTATCACCATTTGACATTGTTGTGAAGTTAGTGCAGGTTGTAGGAGATAACTTTAGGAGTTTCTGTGAAGAAATATATAGAAACATAATATGAAATTAAAACTGAAAATAGCTAATTGGAACCTTTGTTTTTCATTCATTGTAATTGAAATAAATAGAGATGTTAAATGTACGTAATCATATGTATACATAACTGAACAATTTCATTTTCATAAAAAGTGGCAAAACATTGAAGCTTACAGTTTCTACTCAAAATGTTCATCCCATCAGCCTTGTAAGGTTTGGCTGTTGGACTCTGACTCACTATGTATACAGAATAGGAATAAAAAAAATCCATGGCTTTATTCCACAAGCAAACCATACCAACCGAGCAACCACCACTTGTTGGTGAAGTTGGTGCCAACTTTAGTGGATAGAGGGTGTTGTGTGGTCAGCACAACAAATCCCTGGAGCCGTTAATTTCAGTCTTCTAGACTGGAGCCTCTACTTTTCCATTCAAGTAGCTCCTCAGCTATCCTCACGAGGCTGAATGGACCCCGTTCCAGACCCACTACTTCTCAGAAATTCTGGTAGCGCCAGGAATCGAACCTGAGACCTCTGGATCTGTAGCCAGGAACTCTGACCACTAGACCACAGAGGCGGTCAGAATAGGGACAAATCATATAAATAAATGTAAAATTTCATAATTGTTTCATCATTTCCATATTACTCTCAACACTCCAGATGTTTCTAGCATATTGCAGCCTGCAAGACATATATGTGCTCAATTTGTTTCTATTTTTTATTTAGGACGATGCAGTTCGGCAAGTATTGGAAGAAATGAGAGCTCTGTTTGAACAAAATCAAAGAGATGTGTAAGTTTTAAATTAAATATATTGAAACAAAAATGTAATTTCTGTAAATTGTGACTTATAAGAAAGTATGGTTAGGTCATCAAGAATTAAAATTTTGGTGCAAAATATTGTGAGGTATGATGATATAATAGGCCAGCTAGTGCATCTGACTGTTACTGTATTCCTATTGTAATTGAGTTGGGACCTTTGTCATGTGTAACCTGTGGCATACTTCATCATTCTTGAAGCTTATTTTCCTGAAACAGTTGTAGGTAGCAACATTTGCATATAAGATTGTTGAATCTTTTAATGAATTGTGTATTGTTGCATGAACTGTGTATGAGGAGAGGGGGGTCATGTCATTAGATTAATCTCTGGAATATTGCATTCATTAAATCATAAAACATTAGTTAGTGGCATTTTTTGTGACTTGGAAAAGCATTCAATTGTGTTAGTCATGAAGTGTTATAAGATAAATTAAAGTATTATGGAATAAATGATAAACAATATAATCTTTATAAGTCTTGTTTACAAGATAGATTTCAGAGAACATCAATTTTAACCTTTAACGTCCGAAATTCCCCGATCAGGCCAGTGATGAGTATGGTTGTCATGGCCATAGTACCCCGCTTTGGCCAGTCAGGCATTTAAACTCCAATAGTGGAAGCGCGCGCACACACACCGCTAGTTGAAGTGCATGCACAGTCCTAAATATTTATTTTTAAATGTAGTAATTACCAGACAGACTTGAGTAAAACCATAATAGAGGAATTAAAATGATACCTGAGTGAACAACAGCAAAAAGAGTATACGTATGAGTTATGCCCAAACTCATCCACGAGCCAGTACTTTTATTGCAGATTCTGCAGATCAGTGTGTTAAAAATATATAGTAAAATTTGATGTGCATAGCCTTTTTGTTGTTATCTGTTTGATGTATATAGAGGTTGAAATGAAACTGCAGTACTCGATTTCACTATGAACGTACAGAAAACAGATCACACTCTGTATCTCAGCCATGATGCAGCAGTAATCTCTTGCAACTATAATGGAAGGTCTTAGCACTGAAGAAGGGACCCCTCTAGCTCTGTTTGTTGAATAGCCATTCTTTCATTCTTCTGTCCTTTAGTCAAAGGATTCGAAAATCTGAAGGGTGTAACAAGATGTAAGGTTTTCCAGCAGAGAACCAAATGATTTTATTGCTTCAATCTGTTTTATGACACCAGGGTCTGCTAAAATTTGTCAAGTGTTACAAACATAAATTAATTTATAATGCAGAACAACTCTGTGAAGAACTGGGAAACAATTTTTGCAGTATGCATCAAAATTAAAAGAAAAATATTGAAAATAAGAGTAACTCTTTTATAAAATTTTTCAAATCTTCTGTTATAATATGCGACACTGTGTTCTTTGCTGATACAAACAAAGTTAATTCCATCCATTTATCATAAAAATTGAGTTAGATACAGCATTTTTAAACACAATGCTTAAAATTGTTTAAGCGCCCTAACAGGAACGGGCATTTAAACGCAGAGTAGCAGCAGACATTTAAATACACCCTGGCCAACTTTGAAGAATTATAAAGGTTAGGGAGTATGACAGCCTGAAAGACCACCATCTGTCATGTTGGTTCTTGATATCTGCTTGTAATCTGTTGCTGTTGAATGTTTTTTCAGAAATGCTCATATAGGTGGAGATGCAAGTTTCCTGTCTGGAGTTCACCTGCGTCATACAGCTTTGGAAAGGAACAAAAGATGTCTTCTGGCATATTTGTAAGAGCTCTGATTGTACTCCTAATCTTAACATGTAATATAGCAGATTTAAATTCCAAATGCCATTCTCAGGTCTGGGTCATTGCATGTCAAGTCAAAACAGATCATAATGTGACCCCCACAGAATTGATTTTGTTTTTTAGGTTGTTGTCCCAATGGAGGTAGGTATTCCTACCAAACTTTACTGCCTTATGAGCACTAGAATTTTGAAAGTAGACAACCAAAGTTGTCAAAACACTTTTTTTTTTAAAGAGAAAGTGGCCTGACTTTTGCCCTAATTGAGACATAGAGCCCAGTTTATGCTGATTTCAAATCTGATAAAATACCCTTCCCAGTGACCTATTGCACCAGTATATTCAAAAGAGTTATGTCTTCAAGGTCTTAAAATTTGACCTTGTATGTCTCAAAATGCGTTATTTATTTTTTTTAAACAATATTATGTGTATTTAACTGTTATTTAAACATGTGCAGATATCAAGCTGGGACTGCAACTGATTGGTTACTTGTAGCTGGTATTGAAGCACTTGACTAGTACTACTTCAAGAAATTCTTGGTCTAATGGTAAAGCTGTATAAATGCAATTGATTATTTAGGTACAATCGTCTAACAAGGATACGACAGATGAGGTGGGAATTTGGAAGCATACTGCCTCCTGAAGTCAAATACAATCTCTGTGAGCCTGAGGTGTGTATAATGGCTGGTTGTTTAAGTTGTCATATTTATTAAGTTATTTCATATTTTTATTTTGTTAATTATGATGTGTTATTTGTTACTTTTTTGTTTATGTTTGTTTTTGTTGGGACATTTTTATGTAGACAGAAATTGTTTCAGATTCTGTGGTTCAACAAATACAGTAAGTGTCTTGCAAATTACATGAAGTCCATTGGAGACAATCATGGCTTGAATCTCACACAAGATAGTAAACCTCCAAAATCTCTTTACATAGAGGTAAGAGACTATGTTACTGAAAAACATGTTCAAAATAAATGCCCAAGGGATGATATTATTTTCCCATTTCATAGAAATTCATGTTATATTATTAGGGTGATTGAATTGAGAAGGATAGATAGGCAAGGCATGTAGCATGTCAGATCGCCAGTGACCATCATGCGACATTCCATCTGTGACATAGTGAGCTGCCTCATCTTCAAATCGTCGGACAAAATGGCATGAATGGATCCGTTAGATACAAACTTCTTGCTCCAACTCTGCAATGGTTATTCTTTGATCACATCGAATCGGTTGTCACACTTTTCCACTCATTTCTTCGGTTCTGGATGTCGAAGGTCTCCTGCTGCGTTTGTCATCCTCTAACATCTCCTTCCCATTCTTAAACCAGGAAAACCAGTCGTAAACTGTGGATTTCTTTAGTGCAGTATCACTGTAAACTTGCTGCAGGCCCGATTGCGTCTCTGAAGCATATTTTCCCAATTTGCACATGAACTTGATGTTCACACGCTGTTTGAACTGCAACATTGCGCCAAATAACCAACACTCACGTCTAATTCAAACGGAACATTAACCACACTACACACTGAAACCTGTCCAGATGTGTTACGCCTGCAAGCCGACATGCTGAGCTCCCCACCACAACTGTGTGCACTATCTTATCGCTCATTCTCGGTCTGCAAAGGAACTCCGGGAACTTTTTGACTGCCCTACGTAGAGTGCATAATGGAAAAGTTCTGGGGACACCACTGAAATAGTTGAAGCATTAGAACAGCTTTAATATTGCTGATATATGATGTTATTTATTATAAATTTGCATTTGGATATTGTTCTAGGTTCGTTGTCTGGTTGATTATGGCAAGTTTGAGTTGGATGATGGTGAATCAATACTGCTAAAGAAAAACAGTCAACATCTATTGCCTCGTGCTCAGTGTGAACCTCTCATACGACAAGGCATCCTCCAGCATATCACACAGTAATGGACTGGTGCAGTCTGTGAATTGCCAAGTGAATACATTTCTTAAGTACGTACAGTTTCTCAGTTGGAAGAGGGTTGTAAACTTTAGGCATAAATATGTTGCAGTATTATTATTATTATTATTATTATTATCATCATCATTTTTTTAAATTTTGCTTAGTGGTGGGTGGAGTCCAGCTGGGTCCACTCAGCACAGCAGCCACTGATTGGCCTATTGTACCTGCCCTGGGTGATTATGATGATGGAGAATTTTGGTGGAATGAAGATTGGCAGGGGAAACCGAAGTACTCTGAGAACACCCGCCCCAGCGCCACTTCATCCACCACAAATCCCACTTGACCAGACCCGGGATCGAACCCGGGCCGCTGCGATGGGAAGCCAGCGACTAACTGCTTGAACTGTGGTGCAGCCAGGGTATTAGCATCATCATCGTCACCATAAATCCTGCACTTTTCATTATTTTGTATGGCTTCTGCTTGCTGCCTGCAAAATTTTGTTATATAGTCGTAAACGTACAGTATTTTGAAAGCCTTATGCAATTTGTGGACCGGTGTGTGCCTTGGGAAGTTACAAATGGTGCGGAGAGCCTTGTTTTGGAAGACACTGCAGTTTCATTAAATAGGTATCTGCCACAAATTCCCAGGCAGGGCAAGCACAAGTCGTTACAGACCTAATGAGTGCTATGTGGAGGACCAATTTAATGTTAGTGCTTAATTGTTCTGAAGGCCTTGGTGTTGATCATTATTATGTGTAGTCTCCATGTAATCCTCTGGTCAAAGATTACACCAAAATATCAGTATCGAACTGAAAAGATGTCCTGTTGATACCACTGTCTATTCATGTGAAGGTCCCTTGCACGACAGAACCTTCTCAAATCCTGAAGAAATGGTCCGATCACCATGTCCCTGTAGCGTGCTTGGATGAAGGTAAGAGCATTGCCTTCCTCGTCCTCAATGAAATAGGGTCCTAATATACCGTGTGCTGAGACAGCACACCATATCGTCACACATGTACTATGTAGCGGTTTCTGGACGATAACATCTGGCCGCTCAAAACCAAGGAAGCGAGTTGTCTGGTGACCACTTCCATCTGAGCGGAAATAATACTCAACTATGAATACTTTTTCCTACATCGAGAGACCAATTTCCAACAACAACCGCACAAGACAACTTCCTTTTCACTACTGGGAACACGTGTGGCTGGAGCTATGCCCCATTTACAAACACACATGCACGTTCGAGATGCGCAAGTTTCAGTACTGCATGTTTTGACGCATACTGTACTTCACATGATCGATGAAGGGGATGTTCTGTCCATTCAGTGTAAGATGAGCCCCAACTGGTTTAACTGTGAGGCAGATAGATGGTTTGAGTCTTATCTTCATTGATTATTATGTTCTAGCACTCTCCCCATGTCTCAGTTTCATCGAGACCTTGCTGCAGCTTTCTGAGACATAATCTTTTTGCGGTCTGTTGTATATACAGGTGTCATTCGTGAAGAGATCTAGATAAGACACCAGGTGATTGGAGTGTATCATGTGGCATGTAGACTCATTGCTAGGCAATGACTGCAAAAGAAGCAACATAACAGGAACCATTACTAAGTAACAGCTTTGCAAAGAATATCTTTCCATGGCAGCAGCTGGATACAAAAATAGTGTGAAGCAGTGTTTTCTATGCTGTAGTGAACTGTAAGTGTGAGAATTAGTGAAATGGTTGTAATTACTTGTAATCACGGATCTGTAAGAGTTCAATAAATTCAATTCCCAATCAAAACCCCATCTATAGTCATTCATACACTTTACAATATGTACTGTACAATGTTGGGGGCAGAATGTAACCTTGTGGCATCCCTGCTTGTATTCCCCTTGGCGTAGACATTTCACCCTCAACCAAAACTCTGAATTTTCTCTGCAATAGAAAAGCACTAATAAGCTTGATTAGACTGTTTTATCATTTGCATCCTGTTGCATGAATTTCAACTAACAAGATATTAAAACCTTTACATGTTCATCCATCACTGCAATAAATGTTTTTATTGATTGATTTAAGGTCAACATAACACAAGTGCAGTATTAGTAAATGTTGATATAAGACCATGCATTACAAGTAAATGATGAATTGTGTATCTGAAGAGCACCTGAAGATGACCATTTAAGGGTCAAACAAAGTGAGGGCCTTCTCCCAGTATGGGGCTCCCCATAGAGCTCATCCTCAAGATATCTTTTTGTACAGGTTTGGTGATGAAACTAACCATGTCTGTCATGAGTAGGATGTCTGAAGATGACTAAAATTTAAGGTGACTTTCTGTATTAATGACAATGATAAAGAGTCTCATTTTGGAGATAGAGATGACCTCTGAAATGTTCATTCATTCATTCATTCATTATTGGAGGGGGTTGGTTTCCCATGCACCGCGACCAGTTGTTGATCTATTGTACATCCCCCTTTGATATTCTACCAGTTGCCATACCCTTCCGATACTGGTGCTTGCTATCAGCCCCGTTCAGCCGGCGAGTTCGGCCCCTCTACTGGCACTGGTACCCGATACTTCCCCCATCTACCAGAGGCATTGGAAACTACTTGGGCGGGAAACTTTTTACCTAATTTTGCTCAGAGGTCTCCTAGAGACATGAGAATCTTTTACGTGCCGTAAATCTACGACACAGGATCCACTACTTAAAGTCCCTCCCGGAGGACTTGTTCCCTGAATTTTTCCGCCCTTAAAAATTCTACAACCTCCGCCAGGTTTGAACCCGCGTACCTTGAGTCATGAGGTGGGAACGTTACCCCTAGACTACAGAAGCCGCTCTGAAATGTTAACTTTTACTCAGAATTTATGGAGTTTATCACCCAAGGAAACCATATCTCTTTAAGTAACCCTGAAAGCATTGAGTTTTCGCTATGTATTCAGTATGAAATACCTCAGATGTATTTTAGCCACAGTAATAATTTAGTGTCAAGAACACATGGAAGCTATAATGTTGCTCACATCTACACATCAGCACTTAGTTCATAATTTTAAGACTATTGTAATGGGATATAATTAAGAGCCACTTGTGAATGCACACAAAAAGTTATATTGTCTGTTTCACTGTACATTTCTTAATGAACCTCTATTTCTGCAGAACAGTTGGAATTAATGGGTGCTATAATGAAATATACTTACTGTTACAGAAATTTATTTTGGTGATTGTTCTCATTGAAGTACTTTGTGTATTTCTTAGAGTCTCACAAAGATAAAAATGTGTCAGATGTAATTTTATCACTTAGCAAAAGATGCAGCATGTATTTTACTTGCATAAGATAAGGATGGCAGTGTAGTTTTGAAATGGATTCTAGGGAATGAAGTTTTGCTGTTTTGGATCAGATTGAACTCATTCAGGTTAAGGTACAATGGCAGGCTTTTGTGTTAGCTGTACTGAAATATATACATGCATTTTGTTTCCCTCCCACCTGAAACATTAAATTGAAGAAGATTATGAACAGATAAAGCACACACATGACAGATGTTGATCCATCACTGTAAGAGCCAGAGCCAGATTATTGATCATGGCTATTGAACTTTTGTGTCTCTTAAGAGTTAGTTCCAGTAAGTGTAGAATTTGTTACTCTGAATTTTGATATTTTATGTTTTATGAAATCATGTTCTTTATATGCATGTGGAATTCATGATATGTAGGGCTCTAATCCATTGATTAGGAGCAGCCACTGTAGCTGCTCCTAATCAATGGATTAGAGCCCTACATATCATGAATTCCACANTTACTTCATGACATGTTTTGGCAACATAGTGCCATCATCGGATGCCCTATTTATGCTAATCTATTTCATTGCTTGCCTTTATAAAATTATTTAAAAAGTGCGTATTTGTCAACTATAATAAATTTACACACACTAAAACGTCCTTAGTATAGCTCAGCCAGTATAATTTCTAAGCTGTAGACAGGACAACTGGGGAACTGGGGTTAGATTCTCCTCTTTGTCCAAATGACTTACTTTTCTAGCCAGTGCATACCAGAGCATGAATCTAACCACTCACTTCAGAGGTTAAATATGGTACTATACATTCACTCACTCAAATGGTGCCTCATTAATTTTGAGGATAATTTAACGTTTTGTGTCATTAAGTTTCATTACAATCTTGGTATTTTTTTTCTGATACCTGATAAGGTATGCCAGAAATGGTGGTTTGGTAAGTGGATAAAGGCAGTCTGGATATTATTTATTTATATATTTGAGATTTTATTTCAAGAATGCTGTCAGTTGCTCAGAATTTATACTGCCACGTCAAGTTGTTTATGACAGGTATAAAGGACGGGGTTCATTGCAATGCCAGAAATACAATTTAAAAGATGATCAGTATTGGAATTGGGCTATAAGTTAATACAATCTGTGACAATTTGTGCAGAGAAACTTCATGAATTTTCACTTATTTTTCTGAGGAGAGAAATAGCACAAACGTATTAAAAAAATATGAGGGGCTATATGGAAAGGCAAAAATTGATGTGTTGGATATAATAATTTCTTTTAATTGAGCATTTATCCTGTTGAAATGTACAAATAGTAAGTTTGTTTCCTATTGTTGGAAGAATGGGATAGCCACATGAAAGATAACATATAAAGAAAAACACATACTNAACTAAGCAAATTGCAAAGGATGGCCTGCTTGGGAATTATGGGAGCAATGTGAACAGCTCCAACAGCTGCAATGGAAATCCTACTAGGACTCCCCCCACTGCATCTGCAGATGGAAGCAGAGGCCAAGTTAAGAAATTACAGATTACATTGCAATGATCAATGGAGACCTAAATCTGAAGGTTTTGGACATGCATACATGATTCAGGACATGAAAAAGGAACCCATCCTACAGATGGGATCTGATAAAATGATACCGAAACATGTCTATGATAAACCCTTCATGATCAGATTTCCTGATACAAGTGAATGGAAAGAGGGGTTTCAACCCGATAGAAAGGGGAGACTAATCTGGTGTACAGATGGTTCCAAGACAAATAAAGGCACCAGAGCTGGAGTGTATTGTGATGGAATAGGGCAGAAACGTAGTTTCGGCCTTGGTCAGTATACAACAGTATTCCAGGCAGAAGTGTATGCCATTAAGGCATGTGCTGTTGAGAACTTAGATAGAAACTACAAAAATAGGAATATATATATTCTATCAGATAGTCAAGCTGCAATCAAAGCACTTAATACACACCAAATCACCTCAAAATTGGTTTGGGATTGCCACCAGTCCCTCACACAACTGGCCAGACATAACAGAGTTCAACTGATATGCANCAGAAACGTAGTTTCGGCCTTGGTCAGTATACAACAGTATTCCAGGCAGAAGTGTATGCCATTAAGGCATGTGCTGTTGAGAACTTACATAGAAACTACAAAAATAGGAATATATATATATTCTATCAGATAGTCAAGCTGCAATCAAAGCACTTGATACACACCAAATCACCTCAAAATTAATTTGGGATTGCCACCAGTCCCTCACACAACTGGCCAGACATAACAGAGTTCAACTGATATGCATGCCAGGCCATGAGGGTATTGCTGGGAATGAAACCGCAGATCAGCTGGCAAGAACAGGATCTGAACAGCTGTTCATAGGACCTGACCCAGCTTGCAGCATCTCAGTAGGAGAGTATTGCCGGGAATGAAACCGCAGATCAGCTGGCAAGAACAGGATCTGAACAGCCATTCATAGGACCTGAACCAGCTTGTGGCATCCCAGTAGGAGAGTATTGCCGGGAATGAAACCACAGATCAGCTGGCAAGAACAGGATCAGAACAGCCGTTCATAGGACCTGAACCAGCTTGCGGCATCTAAGTAGGAGAGTATTGCCAGGAATGACCCCGCAGATCACTAGCAAGAACAGGATCTGAACAGCCATTCATAGGACCTGAACCAGCTTGCGGCATCTCAGTAGGAGAGTATTGCTGGGAATGAAACCGCAGATCAGCTGGCAAGAACAGGATCTGAACAGCCGTTCATAGGACCTGAACCAGCTTGCAGCATCTCAGTAGGAGAGTATTGCTGGGAATGAAACCGCAGATCAGCTGGCAAGAACAGGATCTGAACAGCCATTCATAGGACCTGAACCAGCTTGCGGCATCTCAGTAGGAGAGTATTGCCAGGAATGAAACCGCAGATCACCTGGCAAGAACAGGATCTGAACAGCCATTCATAGGACCTGAACCAGCTTGCGGCATCTCAGGAGAGTATTGCTGGGAATGAAACTGCAGCTCAGCTGGCAAGAACAGAATCTGAACAGCCATTCATAGGACCTGAACCAGCTTGCGGCATCTCAGTTGGAGTTGCCAAGAAAGCGATCAGGGACTGAACTAACAGAAATCGGGACCCTCTGCCAAAATAACAAGGGAACCGTTAANAGGAGGTCACTGAGCCAAATTATGGATGTTTCCCGCCCAACAGCAGTCTCTAATACCTCTGGTAGATGGGGGAAGCATTATAGATACCTCTCAGCTAGTAGAGCCGGTCTCGCTGGCTGGGCGGGACTGATGGTAAGTATTAGTACCGGTAGGATATAGAGACTGGTAGAAATCATAGAGGGAAGCACAATGGACCAATACAGGTCTAAGTGCATGGGGAAACCCACCCTCTCCAATAACTAACTAACTAAGATGGATGGTAAGATTACTTACTGGACACTGCCACCTAAAAGGACACCTTTTCAAACTGGGACTGACAGG